CATTTAAAGTGTTGCCTTCCTTAGCCTACAGACCTCACTTGTCTCACATCAAGTGCTGTTCATAGGGAGCCTTTAGCCTGCCTAGTACATCTGAGTGCCCATTTTCCATTAGAAAATGAGTGGAAAGCAGGTGTCTGTCCTTCCACTAAGCATATTGACAACTGGAAAATGAGATTTAGGCAATCTCTGGGAAGATGGTGGTGCCTCACTCCATGCCAATAATGGCCCTGCCTGGGCAGAATTCTTCCCAACTCACCCCAAGAGCTTGGTGCTTAAGACTGCACCTGATTCTCAACATCCTCTGAATAAATAAAAGGAGCTGTAAGCTGATGTTGTCGTGCAACGTGAAAGCACACAATAGTAATCACTGCTAATGACTCTGCTAAATGCTAGGCTGCACACACCTCCTTGTTTGGTGTTTGTTTTGTATACAGAAGGTAACATCGGCTGAATAACGAGGATGCCAAGTTACAGATGGGGTTGTGGAATCATATTTGACAGCCGATTAGAGTAATCTGACAGAAATGATGACTTAATCACCACGACAGACTCCAAATTCCCAGATAGAATTCCACCCAGGTTAATCTAATTTCCTTGCAATATTTTTGCCAGAAATAGACTCTTAGCTGGCTTGTTTTCTCCCATGCAGATGTCACATGATTTTGACAAGAATGCAAATGGATAGCATTATTGTTATTGAGAAGATGATGGTGAGGTTCTGAAGCTGGAGAGGATCTATGCCTTTGTGTGTTTTTTTATTTGCTTCGTTGTGATTTTTTTCTCTGATGACGTTACATTTACATACAGTGATATGTATTCAGGAAGAGATAGAAAAAAAAAAGATAAAGGTCCTCAATTGTAGTTGTAGGCCCTGTCTTGGTCCAATTGCTATACTGGACATGGCCACTGGGTGGATTTCAGGTTTTCTTTTGTCAGGATTTCATGTTTTACAACTTTTTCTTTCCCTTTCCAATTTTGGTTACCCTGTGAACCACACCAACACGCAAGTTTGGGGTGAGCCCAAGCAGTGACATGCATGGCCTTGGGCTTCGCGTCACCTCCATTACTTCACCGGCCTCACATGGAGCCTCTCACTGCTGGTGCTGCATCAAGGCACTGCCAGGCTGGTCAAGGCATCTGCCCACTCTGTTGTGAAACAGGGCTGAGGAAAGCGGGGCTGTGCTGTTACTGGCTGTTCAGCTGCATCCAGAAGAGCTCTCTAACCCACTGCCAAGGAGGAATTATTCCTTACGGCCTGTTCTCCAGTTGAGTTGCGATAGCCCCATGCACAGTGCTTTCTAGGAAAGCTGGCTAGGAAATTCTCAGAAAGAGCTTGCTTGAGAGCTGTGCTTTTCCGCTGTAGGGTCTGAGTGCTGGATGCTGTTAATGTCAATTTGCTGCAGTTAGTTTTCTCACTTTTTCCTATTTGTTAATTGCAAATATGCATTCTCACATACTGTATTTTTGTAAGCAAAGCTTTCTTCAAGCACTGAAATAAACACTCCCTGTTGCTTTTTGTTGTTGTTTTGTTTTTTTTTTTTTTTGTATGAAAACATGATACACTGAGAAATCACTTACCTTGAGATCCATAAGTGTACAGCTTTGTGATGTATAGCTACAATAACAGCTTTCTGATAAGACGTGAAATCCTTCATTTTAGTAGATGACATGATTCTAGTGGGTGGCATCTAATTTGAAACAGGTTTATATCATCTATAATCTTTTGGAGGGGCTGAGAAAGCACAGCTATTTTATTATTTTATAGCCTACAGTTATACAAGCAAGATATAAAACACACGGATTATTTTCTCTTTTGCTCATTGTAGAGTGATAGTACCCTTTAGCCTTTGTTTCTGCCCCTTTAATTTTCTTACTCACTGCATACCTTGCAACTCTT